AATAGGTACAAAATCCCGCATTTAGACCTAGCCCCTGTGTGGAGGTTCCAGAAGGAGTGGACCATTATTCCCCATCTTCGAACTTGAACTAGGATTGGAAGAAATAATAAGATTGCCGAAGTTTGGATGAAATCTAAATTTTTTGAAACGGATTTGGTCCAAAGAAACATGGGTTCTAGACCCAATATTTCGATGAGCCACATTTTCACCGTGTTAAAGTGTATACAACCTCATTGTCCATAAGGCTGAGGGTTTACATAATCCCTATATTTTCATTTCTAGTACCTCTCGGTATATCTATGGTGGAAGGTATCCAAAGTTGGAGCTGTTGACATACAATCGGTCAAGATGGTGCAAATATATATAATAAAATAATTTAAAAATATCTACATAATCTAAACACCATGATGAATCAAATGATATCAAAATCACACAAGTCAGTGTAGCGGTTTCTAAATCAAAGCGACAACAAAACAAGATATTGAGGAAAAATATTTGTTTTTGGTTCGAAGAAAAATTGTATACAAGAAATTTCAGAAAAAATGTTGAAAAATTGTCATATATAATAATAATCACTTTTTGTGTATAAATATACGCCTTGCGGATTATATCAAATCTTAAAATAAAATAATATTATGAAATATACATTTTAAATTGCGTGTAAATCGCGTAATTCTCAAAATCATTTGATCCGCATGCGGTTTCCAGGAAGTACTGAAGTTTATCTTCCAATCCATATATATTTTGCGAAATTTCATTTGACGGCTAAGATGTGCCGCACGTTACATTGGAGTACCCAAAAAATCGTAAAACGCGAATCATTTCCGAAAACTCCATATGCCATTAACGCGCATCCGATTTCGGTGTGCACCCTAAAAAAATACATCAATCTATACCATTTCAATGTGGTCCATTAAGAACCATGGATGTGCCAGCAAAATCTATTTTTGAGATAAATTGCGTACGTCTCTCTTTCAGCTGAAGTTTTTAAAGTTCTCTTTTCGAAAAAGATCAAAATCCGTATGAGGTCATTTATTGAAGCGGAAATGATACACAGAAAACGCAAATAAATCCGCGATATTTTCAAAAACATTTTTTGCCAAATTTCGTGTTTTTGGAAGGCCAGTTCCCGCCGTTTTAGTAGATGGATTTTCACGAGGAAGATTTTATATCGTCCGAAACGTAAAAAAAACCTTATTGATCGCGGGTACCCATATCATTCAGTTGACAGATCTAAAAATTTGGCCCGAAAAATAGGTTTTTTAGAAATTTGATCGCACAAAATTCGCACCTTCGGATGAGTATTACTCTGAAGCTGTGCATACTACATACACAAAATACATATCAAATTACACAGATTCGCGACTACAATAATCTTGTAATCGATATTTAGAAATTCCTGTTTGCGTATTAAGGCTAGAAGTAAAATTAAAAGAAAACACTCAAGATCGAGCTTCAAAATGTCAGCATCATTTAAAGGTAGATGCAGTTAAAATGTTGAAAAATGATACATAAGGGGCGTAGTCCCCATTTTGTTGGTGCAATGAGTGGCATAGTCAGAAATCGATAGAGAACATAAAAAAACTGGTTCCTGTTTTTACACATTTTTTTACATTAAAGTAGACACAGCTTCCACCAAAATAAAGTTTGGAGGTCAATATCATGAACAGTTTGCAACGACAGATCAATTAACCCAAAACTATTCACTTTTTTCATATACTTAAGTAGTTCCCGAGTTATAAAGGGGTGAACCTCCGCTTCAGCTATGTTAAAAAATTGGCAATATTGCCCATATATATATATATATATAATTGTACTTTATTAAAAATACTTCGGAATGTCCGATTTCGAATGTAATGCCTCTCTCATAGAATCTTGCTTTCTATTTGCAAAAAAACTCTAGTAGCCGATTTTCACAATACTCCCTAGATACGAAGTTTTTTTCATTAAAGAAATTTTGCAATCGTATGTGATCCATTTCTCATATCCGGTCACCATCCGTTTAAGTAATCGGTCTATCTCATTCCGTTTGGCCAAGACTTCGCAAATGGAAATTCGATCCTTCCTATTTTTTCTGTTAATTGGTGTGGCACCCAAACATCGAGCTTCTTTTTGAATCCAGTTTTGTGGTCCATATATAGCTCCTGGGCGAGCTAACATGCCAGTTAACTTCGATAATTTTTCCGATTTTATTGACATTTTCGACGACCGCCCTAATAGATATCTTTTTCCCCAACCTAATATAATCTCATCTTGAAGCACAATATGTGACTGTGAGAAATACCATTTTGAAGTAGGCTTTGATAATTTTTATGTGATGTGAGATAGTTAAGCAATAATTTTCGTCGATATCAGACTTAAAACGGAAATGAAAACTAGTAAGGAAAGCAGTAAAGTCGGACGACAATATTTTGGGTATATTTAAAACATGTCGCCTTTTTCATATATTGCACGGATATATTGTACAAAATTGTGTGCCAATTGGCCAAACTTTGCACCATTTACTTAAAATCGGATTTATCTAAATCTGGACTGATTTCAACGAAACTTGACATAATTTAGGCTACACTAACATCAGTACGTCTTGCAGCATTTTGTGCTAATAGGGCAAATTATCGGTCTGGTGCACCATTGATTTAAAATCGGACGGAAATATATAAGAGCTATATCTGAACTTCAGTACGTTTTGCAAAATGTTGTGCAAATCTTCCTAACTTTGGGAGCTATATGTAAATGAAACTTTTCATGAAACTTAGCGCACATTACTCCAGACTTAATTTAGTACGCAATGCATTATTTGGTGCAAATCGAAAAAAAATATAGGGGTTTTAGTGCAACGTTTATAGAAAATCGGAAGAAAATATATATGGGGGCTATATTTAAATCAGAACCGATTTAAATCAAACTTTGCATTCGTAATTCTGCACTTATTTCAATACGCTATGTCTAATTTTGTCGCAATCAGACAAACCTTGAGAGTTTGGTGCACCATTTATACAAAATCGGACGAAAATATATATGGGAACTATATCTATGAATCGATTTTCACGAAACTTAACACACATCATATCCGACTCAATTCAGTACTCTGTGCAAATATCACGCAAATCGAAAAATATAATTTAGGCTACTCTAACATCAGTACGTCTTGCAGCATTTTGTGCCAGTAGTCCAAATTATCGGTCTGGTGCACCATTTACATAAAAACGGACGAATATATATGGGAGCTATATTTAATTCTGAACCGATTTCAACAAAACTTCGCATACGCAATTCTGTACTTACTTCAGTACGCTATGTAAAATTGTGTCGCAATCAGACAAAACTTGGGAGTTTTGGTGCACCATTTATAGAAAATCGGACGAAAATATATATGGGAGTTATATCTAAATCTGAACTGATTTTTTCTATAAAACAACATATTAGCAATCTGAAAACAAATGGGTATACAGTATTTTTCGGTTAATTGCACATCAAAATTTGCACAAATTTTTGTTCAATTAACCGAGGAACCAATTATCCGAACCCGCTTACTATGAAATGAAATATTTTTGACCCATCATGTGGTTCAATTAAGCGTGGAAACCAATTAACCGTAGGTTCAATTAACCGAAAAATACTGTACCACATTTGCATAACGTTCTCTATACACTCCATCTTATGCAGAAGAATATAACAAAAGAAAACTGTTACTGTTTATACCCTACACAACTATGTTGTCAGGGTATTATAGCTTTGTGCAGCCCAAAATGTTTGTAACGCCGCGAAATATTGGTCCTAGACCCACCTTTAAGTATACCGATCGTCATATCTCGACTAGCTGAGTCGATCTAGACATGTGTGTCCGTCCGTCCGTCTGTCTGTCCATTATAATTTGTAAACACGATACAGGCCACAGTTATGGACCAATCTTCACGAAATTTTGCATGTAGGATGGGTTCTGGCCAATGAAGACCCCTATTGTTTTTGGAAAAGATCGGTTAATATTTAGGGCATGAAATAGACCAAAAACGTTATTTTTGTCTGATTTTCTGGTCGCTCCAGAGGCCGCAATTATAGCCCAAACATCGCGAATTTTTGCATGGAGAAGGGGTTCGAGCCAAAGAATAAGCATGCCTGTTTTGATAAAGATCGGTCAATATTTAGCGGGTCAAATGGACCCTGACTTTTGTGTGAAAATGACAAAATATGTATTCTATAGCGTATATATTTACCACTGAAGGACATAGACCCGAGAAGTTGATAATATAGCGTAGAGGTGCGATTGACCTTTAAATTGATACCAATTATATTGCCGTAGGTACTCGTATGCGGGAGTTACACTTAAATATTTACAGGTGCTTACGTATTTATATATTATTTAGTAACCTATTACCCCACTGGAGGGCGAAAATATAGCGCTGATCGCTTTGCAATGTTCCATGAGGTTCTAGTATTGGCCAAGGACAACGCCCAAAATGCTAGGTGATGATCAGATAATAATTTTTCGGATAAAGTTTACCGAAAACTTAATTAGTTGTGCTTTTCGAGTCAAAAGCCGAACATAACAACACAACCCACGGTGAAGGGAATCTGGACAAGTAATTATAGGGGCTGTTCTGATTATTAGTAACATTTGTTGACCACTAGCCATTCAAAAGTGTGCAAATATCGCGAAATATTGCCCAATCTCAGAATATAGAACCACAGAAAGTTAGATTTTCATGGAAGTTGTGTAGGGTATCGTATGGTCGGCCCCGTCCGACTATACTGCTCCGCTCACTGGTTTTTTAATCGAATATAGGATTTGTAATGGACTCATTCTTCAATATTTTTTCGACAAGCGCATTTCACTTGCCCTCTTCAAAAAAAAAAAAAAAAAAAAAAAAAAACTAAATTAATTTCTTTTCGTACATAACATAATCTTATTTTATTGCTTTTAAACTTAAAAAAAAACTATTATTGCATAATAAATAATATTTATAACATGGAGATTGCACTTTGCTTCAGTTTGACACAAATTAGGCCATTGGATGACCATAACTTGGCACATAATCTCTCGGATATGCCGACGGATGTAGATGATGTGTGACATGACCCGAGGCTGGATGATGCTGATGATGACCATTCATGTTACCATAGTAATCGTCTGTTCGGGGTTTTTGTGTATTTTCTGTACCATTTAAAAGGTCTTGCATAAATCCAATATAAGTGATAGCCAGTCGCAGAGTTTCGATACGTGACAGACGTTTTTCGTAGGCGAAAGTTGGCACCTTGGGGCGAAGTTTATCAAATGCTTCGTTTAAATTCAACATTCGACGACGTTCACGAATATTGGCGGCACGTCGTTGAGCCAGAGATGCAGTACGTCGTCTTACTTTTTTAGTCGTACTGCCACCGCTGGATGAAGAGCCACCATTGGTTTGACTTTTACTCTGTTGCAGACTGGAAGTTGAGGACGATGATGTTGACGATTGGGAAGACATTAAACTGCCGACATGAGAACGTTGCCAAAGAGCTATAGAATAGATAAAATAATATTTGAAGGTTAATATAATTTGCTTGGGTCACTTGAAAAACTGTACACACTTACCAAAATCTGAACTGGGAAAAGCGGCCATAAAATTCTGATAAGGAATCATTGGTGGCGGAGGCGGCGGTGGAGCCTCCGAATTCCACAATTGCTGATAAGGTATATCGGTCATATAACTGGGTACTGTGTGATGTTGCATTTTGATGTAGTTTTTGTTGATTTTATGTATCCACTTAGGAGTGATACTTGGGTATTCCTTTCTATTTGAATTTTTTTATTTTTCAAAATATTTCCAGTTCGATTTTAGCGAAAATAATAATTGGTGATGTGTCCTTTCTGCTTGGATGCTAAACAATGAATGTGAATTGGTCTAGTAGCATTATCGTCTTTTATATCCGCCAGCAAGGGTTGTAGCATGTTTCTATTAGAATCATTTTCAACCCTCATTTGTGTTAAGGGTAAAAACTACCTAGTCGGGCGCCATTGTAATATTCCAATTGGTAACAGTTTTCTTAATGCTGATTGGTTAGTTTGTACTGGCAGCCAACGAGGGTGACTCGCATGGTATTAAATTTCTTTTCCCATAGATATAGGTAAATTCCCTTCAAATGAGATGTAGATGGCGCCGAACAAAAGTTGTTGTCTTGAATAAGATTTTCAGTTGTAGTTATTATATTCACAGGGCGCCGAAACCGTACAGAAAATCTGGAATACCCTGTGAAAGCGAGTGCAGGTTTATTCGCATAATAACGTTATCGTCCAAAAGTCGGACGGAGCCGACTATATGATACCCTTCACCACTTTGGATACATACAAGAGATGCTAATAAATACAATATACTGTAGATAGAACATACATATAATCTTTAGGGGAACATGGAAATGGAAATATCTATGTAGATCACACATTTATTTTTTAACCCCATTCCATTTCCATGCACAAAGACATAATACGCTGGACCACAGTGTGGTGAAGGGTATAAAAATCGTATCAGATTTACATATAGCTCTTATATATATTTTCGTTCGAATTCACCATAGTGATCCAAAGTACCAATGTTTGCCCAATTGAGGCGAAATTGTGCACACGTTTTATCGAAATCTTTTCAGATTTAAATGTGGTTCCTATATATATTTTCGTCCGGTTTAAAGTTAAAGGTGCACGAAAGATCGATCCTACGTTTGTCGGATTCACGTATTTTACAGAGTGTCAACATAAGTCAAGAGTAAAGTGTGCTTAAAATCTGAATGTAAAATCTATTCCAACGCCCAAAGGCTTTCCGATTGACATAAAACTAGCATGTATTTGTAGTCGGTCGAAAGGTAACAACGGAATTAATAATAATGACATAAAGATGCCTAAAGTTGGGGGCTTGTCAACATGTAAAGAAATGTCCGTTGAAATCTTTTAGCCTCATACTATAACAAGGATGTAATAAAGAGGATTAGACAGAGTTCAACTATTCCAAATAGGTATTTCAGACTCCAAAAACTCGAAATGCCAAACGGAACCTTCAAAATACCGAAAATTGAGCGGCACATTTACAGCGGCGAGCAAAATGTACAAATCTTACCCAATTCTTCCAATCGCAATATAACAGTTTAAGAGTTGAATAGTTATTTATTACATTAAATTTTTAATGTAAACCAGTGAAAAAGGCGTTAAGTTCAGACAGAACTTTGGATTCTCTCCACCATAGGTATACCGACACTTATTTGAAATGAAAATATAGGGAACATATAACGAACATCCTACCAATCGATTTTTGTAAACCATAATGTACCTTAAATACAAATTTCAGCAATTTTTAATGGGGTTTTTTCATAAGATCTCAAAACAAGTAAAACCAGTAAGAAAAGTACTGACTTTATTAAGTTCCTTACTGGTTTTACTTTTACCTCGTGCAAATCGAAAGATTTATAGGGACTTTGGGGCACCATTTACATTAAATCAATTCGTTTAGATTCTAGAGTGATTACATAAGACAGACAGACGGAAATGCTTAAATCGTCATGGAAGCCCACAATATTCGGTATTTTGAACAGGTTTTCCAATGAATTGGTTGTAATTTGATATTTTGGGTTCTCATAGAATAGCACATAACCATACCAAAAATTATTAATATTGACCCAAGATTCAGGGTAGCCCCCATAACGGTATCAGCACATCTCAGCACAAGAAATTATTAATATTGACCCAAGTCTGTATCTTGAGAATTTTTGACACGTTTTTCATCAGAGTTTTATGTAATTTGGAATTTTAGCTGTTAAATCTCACTACCAAAAAATATCAATATGGATTTCTCCTAGGAACCCTCATTAATTTTAGATATTTTGATTGTCATCCCCATGGTGGAGGGTATGAAAATTTCGGCCGGGCCGAACTTAACATGGTTTTTACTTGTTTACTTTATTATGATTCCACCTGTGATAAGATAGCTCTTAGCCTAGCACAAAAAATCGCGGTATAAACAGAAAAAAGTTATGTTTTGGAAACTTCCATCTCTGTTAAGAAGACACGTTAAATTTTGATCTGGCAAATCCTTCATATAGAACCAGGTGTTTGAAAAAGACGCATCCGCAATATTTTACAATGGAACCAGTAAGAAAAGTAGTAAAGTAGGACGGGCCGACTATATGATACCCTTCACCACTATGGGTATATTAAACAGGACTATTAACATGAAATTGGATGAAATAAAATATGTGATATTTATCTAAATGTGAATCTGCCTAGATCTATCCATAAAGTATGTAAATCGACTTCAAACAAATATAAATCGGTCATCCGTTGGGCTATGTCTGTACTACTTGAAAACGCAACTACGTAATTCTATGCTCAATTTTGTACGTTGTGCAAAATTTGATGTCAATCTGACTAACATGAGGAGTTTGATGCCCAATTTACTTGAAATCGGGCGAAAATATATATGGAAGCTCTATCCAAATATTAAGCGAATTCAAACAAACTTGTCAGGTTATGTTATACAAATTTCAGAACGCTTTGTTCCTATTGGTTCCATGGTGCGTCAATTACTTAAAATCAATAATAAAAGGGAGCTATATCTAAATCTGGACCGATTTTCACGAAACAAAGCAGACATCACTCTAGGCTCACTTCAGTACGTTATGCCAAATTTCGTGCAAATCGAAAGATATATAGGACTTTGGTGCACCATTTACATGAAATCGGACGAAACTATATGTGGGAGCTATATAGAAATCTGGACCGATTTTCTCGAAACTAAACAGAAACCACTCTAAGCTCAATTCCGTACGTTATGCCAAATTTCGTGCAAATCGAAAGATATTAGCGACTTTGGTGCACCATTTACATGAAATCGGACGAAACTATATATGGGAGCTATATCTAAATCTGAACCGATTTTGATGAAACTAGGCAGACATCATTCTAGGCTCAATTAAGTACGTTATAACGAATTTCGTGCAAATCGAAGGATATATAGGGACTTTGGTGCACCATTTACATGAAATCGGACGAAACTATATATGGGAGCTTTATCTAAATCTTGACCTATTTTCACGAAACTTGGTAGACATCATTCTAGACTCAATTCAGTACGTTATGCCAAATTTCGTGCAAATCGCAAGATATATGTGGTGCACCATTTACATGAAATCGAACGAAACTATGGGAGCTATATATAAATATGGACCAATTTTCACGAAACAAGGCAGTCATCACTCTAGGCTCAATTAAGTACGTTATGCCAAATTTCGTGCAAATCGAAAGATATATAGAGACTTTGGTGCACCATTTACATGAAATCGGACGAAACTATATATGGGAGCTATATCAAAATCTGGACCGATTTTCACGAAACTTGGCAGACATCACTCTAGGCTTAATTCAATACGTTTTGAATAATTTCGTGCAAATCGAAAGATATATAGGGACTTTGGGGCACCATTTACATGAAATCGGACGAAACTATATATGGGAGCTATATCTAAACCTGGACCGATTTTTACGAAACTTGACAGACATCATTTTAGGCTCAATTCAGTACGTTATGCCAAATTTCGTGCAAATCGAAAGATATATAGGGACTTTGGGGCGCCATTTACATGAAATCGGAAGAAACTATATATGGGAGCTATATCTAAATCTGGACCGAGTTTCTCGAAACTTGGCAGACATCACTCTAGGCTTAATTCAATACGTTATGCCAAAATTTCGTGCAAATCGAAAGATATATAAAGACTTTGGGGCACCATTTACATGAAATCGGACGAAACTATATATGGAAGCTATATCTAAATCTGGACCGATTTTCTCGAAACTTGGCAGACATCATTCTAGACCTAAATGATTAGGTTGTACCAAATTTCGTGCAAATCGAAAGATATATAGGGACCGTTTACATCAAATCGGTTAAATATATATATGGGAGCTATATCTAAATCTGAACCGATTTTTCCCAATTTCAATAGGGTTCGTCCTTGGGCCGAATAAGTGACCTATGCCAAATTTCATCCAATTCGGATCATAAATGCGACCTGTACTTTGTTTACAATTTAACATGGACAGACAGACGGACATGCGTAAATCGACTCAGAAAGTGATTCTATGCATATTCTCAAAAGGAACCAAGTGTCTATCTAGTTTCCTTTTGCCTGTTACAAACATATGCACAAAGACATAATACCCTGTACCACAGTGTGGTGAAGGTTATAAAAATAAGAAATGCGTGCTATATGAAGGAGTTGCCAGATCGAAACAAAATTTTACATGTCTTCATAACAGAGATGGAAGTTTCCAAACTTTTTTCTGTTTATACCGGCCTTTTTGTGCTAGGCTAAGAACTTTCCGAACTGCCCTCGTATTGTTAAATTTCTATTGTGCTCTTTTCCACAGCTCACCTATGTTAGTTGCCGCTCTTTCATACACTGCCAGTCTTTCCTTTAAAATCGCCCCAACATGTTTGATAAGATTAAGATACGGGGTTTTCCCTGGCCATTTGAGCAATTAAAATTTTTCGTTAGCGGGAAATTTTTGTTTCATCAGACCAAATGACATGTTTCCAATCCTTCGGTCCAATCACTATCATCTTCACAGCTAATTTTGGTGTTCTAGTATCTCTATTGCATCATTTAACAATCTTGAGCGACCAGATGTGATACATTTCGTCTTTTGCGAACAATTTGGGTAATAATATGGACTAATTTTTAAATGTTA